AGAGAAGAAGCTAAGCCCAGTGAATAATGACAGGATTAATAAAGAAAACTAGTGACCAGAGGGGAGAGGGGAGGAAATTTCAGGGGAAAGGGGGAAGGGTATACAGGAACAGGTATAAAGGACATAAGGACAAAAACTGGGGGGGGGCATGGAAATGGGAGGGAGGTGGGAAGGGTTGGGGGGGTGGGCTGGAATGGGAGTAAAAGACAGAAAACTGTACTTGAACAACAATTAAAGTTTTAAAAAAACTAGTAAAGTAAGAGAGTGGTTAGGGAGGAAGACAGGGCATTAAGAAGGGAGGTAGGAAGGTTAAGCCAGATGCTACATGGAGCACTAGCACTACAACATATAGCGTTAAATTCAGTTAGATGCCTCTTGCCAATCAGACATGGGGCCATTGGTTATACTCACCATCTCTCTCCAGATAAATCAGGGTCAGGGTTCAGGACAACTGGTTCAGTTTGAGGAAGAAACAGAAAATACAGAGATAGTTGCATTTATCACAGTAAATATCTTATACTTTGTCAAGTACCTGACACATTTCATGTGTGCATTAAATTTTGATGAGGGCATCTACAAGCCTTCAGTTAGTATTTAATTTATCCTGGTGAATTATTTAACCGGAGCAGAACTCGTGATTCCAAGAGTATTTATTTTGCATTTTTTATTAGAAATAATTTACACAAAAGTAGAATAGATCACTAAACCCCAGTGTACCTAGCATTCATCACGCAGAATCAACTATAATCAACTCACAGTCAAGCTTATTTCATGTATATCCCACTCACTTCCTGCCCAAACCCAAACTATTATAAAACAAATCCAAAACACTGTATCATTTCATGATGTGGATACTTCAAAAAGACAGAAAAGGGAGAAGGGCATTTTACATAAATTTTACTTTACCTAAAGCAAGGGATGGGCATGGCAGAAAGGAAAGGAAGAAGCCCAGTTCTCAGGATGAGCAGAAAGGGACCAGTTCAACCCCATTTTAATTGCTTCCCCACTTTACATTTACACAGTTCATTTGCTATCATTGCTGTTGAATACAGTGCCCTGTAATTTCAGCTTTAATGGCCTTGCTCATCAATTCCTATTGAATTAGAAACACCTGGCTAGCAACAGCCATTTTTCCGAATTCAACGCTGTGTGTTGTAGTGCTCCATGTGACATCTGGCTTACCTTCCTACCTCCTTTTCTTTTTAATGTCCTGACTTCCTCCCTAGCCAATCTCCTAATAACTTCTTAACTTCCTTTTATTAATCCCATCAACATTTACTGGGCCCAGCTCCTGGCATATAAGCAGACAAAATAAAAATGAGATGAGAACACCTAGCAGACACTGGAGGCTGAGAGTTGTCAGAAAGGTGGTGAGTGCAGCTGAGAAGAGTAAGAATGAATTTGCCAACAAAGGAGGACGGAAGTGGTTAAAGATGCAACATGGCATTCTAGGTAGAGGAAGCAGCCCTGGCAAGGAAGGAAATTTGGGGCCTATTTATGGAACTGCAAAATGCACTATGTGGCTGGATCAACAAATGTGATGAATAAAGGGTGGAGAATAATGAACATTGAAATACGTAGAATTAAGCATAGCCCAAGTCTTGGAGGTCAGTACTGTTGAACTGAGGGCATCTGGTTGGAGTAGAGCTGGTGGGAAAAGGAGTCCTGATATGAGAGAGATATATGATGCTCTCTCCGAGCACCTGGGTTCACTGCGACACTTTCAACTTCAACAGCATCTCCTATGAGAACATATCCTCCGAAAACAAGCCTATCTCTTCGATAGTTTACTAAGAACTGGTGCCTCCACCAAACATTGTTCCGTGATATAGAAACTACATGTCAGATCAGCAATATTGTCAAAGGCATGCACGTCTATTTAGTTTGCAAACATTCGTTTTTCCAGAGAATGTTTTCAAAACAGATACTAGACCAGACCTTATTTTTATATATTTGTTTCTCTTGGGGCAATAAAACAAATGCTAATGGGGATGGAAGGATGGTAATGCAGAGAAATAATTTCATTCTGGTTATTGTTTTTATTAGATTGACTGAGGCTGCAATGCATCTGTGGAAATACATTTGGAAATGTTCACTTCATGACACAAGAGCTGTTTAATCATGGAGCTGAGGCTGTGAGCTAGATTTGTAGAACTCAAAATGAAACCCAGTGTTGCCAATTGGCTGCTGAATTGGAGTGCCGCAGACAATCATTGCCATGGAATTATTGAATATCTGTTCTGGCTATCACCACTACCCCAATTTGCTTGGCAGTTGAAAATGCTGCACTTTGCACTTGACTGGTTTCAGAGTTCCAGGGCTGGAGGGATTGATGTTGTAAGTTCCAGGGATCACGAATCTGAATTGCAGTGAAGTGTGCAATAGTGAGCTCTGGAGTGTAGAGTGTGATTAAACGACCTCTAATGTTCCTTATATTTACATAATAATACTCTGGTCCTTGGGCCACAGATATCTGGGAGCTACTAAATTTGTAACTTTTTTCCTCAAATAAAAGAAACCAAACTTCAGCAAGATGACTCAGTGATGATGATATAGGGAACAGTTTGACAAAGTTGGGATCGAGTTTTATGCTTACGAGATTTGGCTTTAGATTCTAGCAAGAATCTTGTTCCAGGACAACGCCAGTTCTTCTGCATCCAGACATGACTTTGTTTCTACCCATATGTTCTCCATTTGAGTCAGGGGCTCACTCACCTGTTTTTCGCATTTGTAGTCCATGGTTTTCTATGCCCTGATTGTACTGTCTTACTTGGCTGCTCCCACCCACTCTCACCTTCATCTGCAAGCTCAGTTGTGCCTCCGTCTTCAGAGATAGGTCTGATCTTAGAGAAGACAGGCTGTTTCTTGGGTACGTACAGCCTAAAATCCCTGTCTTGAATCCCTCCACTCTCAGACCATCACTTGTAGGGTCTATTTCCAATCTTTCAGAGGCTGCTTGCCCAACACGTGCTGCTAGTTATCTTCACGCTAACATCCAGCTCTGTGGAGACTGGCTGATCTCCTACTCTACTCCAGCTTGGAGCCACCACTGGATTTTAAACCGTAAAGCCTTAAAAATTGTCCTGTAACCTACAGCTTCTAGATCCCTGGGATACATACCTTCTAGGACCCCACCACCTTATATTTCCTAGTGGGGATCCCATGTGGATTTTCAGTCTCTGTCTTGACAGCCCAACCTGGGCTCATAATCCCACAGTTCCCGAGTCTGTCCCAGTCCCTGCCAGGCCTGAAGCCTCCCTTATGACCAAGGAGAAAATGAAGGTGAATGAATGTCTGGCTCTGCCAAACCCCAGCCTCAGTTATCAGCACCACCTTATCACTTTCTAATTGCTTTTCTCTGATATCGATTTTCTTCCTTACATGACTGGATGCCGGACTCTGACCCAGAATTTGACCTGACCATAGTCAGGTCTTACACTTTTTCCTTCCCTGGAATTCTCAGGGCCTCTTGAGCCACTGGGATATTACCTTACTCTGGTAGTTGGCTCGAAAGTACTCAGACCTTCCTAGCCTTAACCAGCAGTAGCTGTACTCAGACCTTCTTAGCCTTAACCAGCAGAAGTCCTTAACTAGGACTTCTGAACCAACCCATGGTCCTTTCTAGGATGCCACAATATTATGATTTACCTCAGTGTCCTCTAGACTAACTTCTGTAGAAAATTACTATTCTATGAGACTATAGGAATTTGTAAAAAGGAACAAACAAAAGTGCTATATATACATGTTTATTTCATGATCATGTGAATTTAGGAAATACTTTGTTACAGGACTTTCCAAGTCCTTTAATATGCTACTGGTGAGCATTGTAATATTAAAGGGATGGTGGAAGGGTGGCATAGTATATAGCTTTTTTAAAATGTGGTGGCCTAGCCCTGGTTGGTGTGGCTGGCTCAGTGGATTGAGTGCTGACCTGCAAACAAGAAGGTGGCCTGTTCGATTCCCAGTGAGGGCACGTGCCTGGGTTGCAGGCCACATCAACATTTCTCTCCCTCTCTCCTTCCCTTCCCCTCTCTCTAAAAATAAATAAATACAATCTTTAAGAATAAAATAAAATAAAAAAACGTTGGCCTAGGGGAGTTTTTTGTGCAATATTTTACATGTCACTAGAAGCTCCCCAGAACACCTCATGGGAAATACTGAGTGATTAAAGATCTATTCTTTGATGCTGACTTGAAGCCATTTGAACAAATTTTTCACTGACAGAACCAAAATAGAGCAGGGCATCAAGACTTTTCTCAATATCACAATAAAATTGGACCCTTATTTTATACCATACATAAAAATTAACTCAAAATGGATCAAAGATGTAATCATAAGACCTGAAAGTATAAAACTCCTGGAAGAAAACATAGGAGGAAACCTTGACATTGGTTTCAGCAATGGTCTCATGGATATGGCACCAAAAGCAGAGACAACAAAAGCAAAAATAGGTACATGCTGTGCACCAACTGAAACAGCTTCTGCTCAGCAAAGAAAGGAACCAACAGAGTGAATAGAGTGGAAGGAGATCTTTGAAAATCATATATCTGATAAGGGGATAATTTTTAAAATATATAAGGAACTCCTACAACTCAGTAGTAAAAACAAAACAAACAAAAAACTAATAACCTGATTTAAAAATAAGCTAAAGAGTTGAATAGACATTTCAGAAGATATACAAATGGCCAACAAGTATATAAAAAGATGTTAAACATCACTAACCATCAGAAAAATGCAAATCAAAGCTGCAGTGAGCTATTACCACACACCTGTCTGTATGGCTAATACCCAAAAGACAAAACATAGCAAGTGTGGCTGAGAATGTGGAAAAAAAGAGAACCCTTGTATACTGTTGGTGGAAATGTAATTGGGTGTAACCACCCTGGAAAACATGGAGGGTCCTCAAAATACTAAAAATAGAACTACCATATGTCCCAGCAATTCCACTTCTGGGTATATATTCAAAAGAATTGAAATCCAGATTCCCATATTCATTGCAGTGTTATTCACAACAGCCAAGATTTGGAAACAACCTAAACATCAATTGACAGATAAATGGATAAGGGAAATCTGATATCTACATACAATGGAATATTGTTCACACTTAAGAAAAAAAGAAGAAAATTCTGCAGTGTGTGACAACATGGATGAATCTTCAGGATTATGCTACGTGAAGCAAGCCAGTCCTTGAAAGGTAAATATTGCATAATTCCATTTATATGATGTATTTAAAATAGTCAAATTTATAGAATCAAAAAGTAGAATAATGGTTGCTAGAGGCTGGAGAGGGAGAGAAAATGGAGAATTACTAACCAAGGGGCATAAATTTCAGTTATGCAAGGTGAACTAGTTCTAGAAATATGCTGTACACTTGAAAATTTGTTAGAGGGTGGGTGTCATGTTAAGTATTCTTACCACAGCAAAATAAAATAAAATAAAATAAAAAATAAAAAGAATAAAACTGTAGTAATTAAATAAAAGCATCAGAGATAGGATTTTTAATTTTAAATTCTTACATGCATTTGTTCAAAACTCTATAAATTCAAGTTTATATTACTACACACAGAATGACTAAAATAAAAATATAAAATTTTAATAAAATTATAATTAATATATTTTAAATAAAAATACAGCTATAAAATAAATACAGCTATGTTAGGAGCTGGAGAGGATGCTCTGGGACATACAATGGTACCACAACTGTGAAAGTAGTTTGACAGATTCCTAAAGTTAAACATATATTCACATACTACTAAGAAATCATACACCTGGGTATTTACCCAAAAGAAATGAACACACGTGCACACACAAACCAGTACACAAGTGGTCATCACAGAAGCTTTACTTAAACAGTCCAAATGTCCTTCAGTGTGTGAATGGTCAAACTGTGATGCATCCCTATTGTGGAAATACCATTTGGCAGTAAAAAAGAACAAACTGTTGATATATACAACACTTTGGTTAGATCTCAAGGTAATTATGCTAAGTGAAAAAAGCCAACCTGAGCAAGTCACATATTTTATGATTCTGTTCATATAACAGTCTCTAAATGGCGAATAAATAACACTGTCCATCACTGTAGTGATGGAGAATAGTTCCCAGGGTGGAGGGGAAGGCAACAAAGGTTAGCAGGAGGGAGTTTCTCTGTGGTGCTGAAACAGTTCAGTATTCTGTGATGATGGTTACATGAATCTACACATGTGATAAAATTTCATGGTGCTATACACAAAAAAATAAAAGTGCATATACAAATTGGTATGAACTGAGTAAAGTCTGTAGTTTAATTAATAACACTGTCAGTTTCCTGATTTGGGTAACGTTTTATGGCTACCCAAGAAGTTATCCTGGGGAGAACCTTGGTGAAAAATAGATAGAAACTCTCTGCACTACTTTTGAAACTTCTTGTGTCTTAAACTATTTCAAAGTAAAGTAACTTTTTTTGTTTAATAAGGAGAAAGCCGAAACAAAAACAATTCAACTTTGGGGCAGTCCAGGTGAAAGGCTCTAGGAAGGCAGGAATCTAGCCCACCGTATTTATCATTCAGAGCCATGCCTGGCCGACTCAGTGCTACAAGTGGATTTCGTGGCTCCACCATTTACTAGCAGTGTGACCTTGGGAAAGTCATAATCTGCCTGTGTCTTAGTTTCTTCATGAGTAGAATGGAAATAATAATGGGTCCTACAGCATAAGATTCAGATTAAGATTAAAGAGTGATTAATGTCAGGTGCTTTGAATACTTTATAGGAGGAAGGGGAGTTCCATGAAGGGATGGATATACAGGGTTCGTCTGTAAAAAGTCCAGCCACTGTTAATTAATATAACAAGAATGGTTTGCAAGACATCAGTGTAAGCTGGCAGCCAAGGAGAGTGGACTGGAATGCACAAGCATGAACAATGACAACTTCACTGTACTAGTCAGTGGGGGCAGTAGACACCATTGAGTGAGCATGTGTACTGTGTGGCCATTACATTCAAAATGACTGAGTGAGTAGAGCAACTAATCTGCATCAAATTTTACATTAAGCTTGAACGTTCCTCTGCAGAAACTATTTGGATGATTTGGAAGGCCACAGCTATGGGCAAGTGGTGATTGGTAGCTTCATCACAACAACATGCCCCCTCATGCATCACAGTTTGTGCAGTTTTGGGGAGAAACATCAAATCACCCAGGTGACTGAGACCCCTAAGCCCAGATTTGGTGCTTTGCAACTTCTGGCTTTTCCCCCACTAAAATCACCTTTGAAAGGGAAGAGATTTCAGGCTGTTGATGACACTTAGGAAAATCCAGTGGAACAGCTGATGGTGATTGGGAGAACTGTGTGAGGTCCCAAGGTACCTACTTTGAAGGGGACAGAGGCATCATTGTCTTATGTATAGTGTTTCTTGTATCTTGTATCTTTTTTAAAAAATGTCTCTATTTTTCATATTACATGGCTGAATACTTTCTGGACAGACCTCAGTCTTTTAGAAATATGTGTTATGTACAAGCAGTCACATGATTTGCCTAATGTCTGGGCAAGGTGGTTAACAATACACCTGCAAAATGGTGGAGCCACCAATGTACTCCTTGCTTATGAAATGATATGAGTTCCTTGCTTACATAGTAAATCTTCACTATAACTCTATTTTCCTTCTGGGTTTGGTTTTTTTTTTTTACCTTTTTCAACCTGTCCCACTTCCCAAAGCTTTGAAATACAAGGTACATCAACTATCAGCTCTTTGTTTTTGACACAATTTATTTGAAATTGTAAAAAGAAGGGTTTACTCTACAGAACTTTGAAATATTTTTCCTTGATTCACATTTGGTTTGACTCTCTTAAGACCCTCTTTGTATTTCCATCACTTCATGTAGACACATTTGATTATAATGTCCATATGTCTGTTTCCCTTAAGGAGCTGTGAAACCGAGGCCAGGAATCTGCATGCGTTCATTTATGCAACCGAGAGAGACTGAGCACCTATCGTGTTCCAAGCTCTATTCCTGATACTGAGGATACAGCAGTGTACAGACAAATGCCCTGTTCCCATTGGTAGTTACAACCTTGGATGGAATTCTTCTTTGTACTTCCAGCTTCTAGCACATTGCCTAGCCCAAGGTAGGTGGCCAAATGTTTCATGGATGGATGTGTGGAGTGATAAAACCAATGTTTCTGTTGCTGGGTACACTATATTTAAACAAAATAGAACAAAACTTGTGAAATTGGCTGCTCTAAGCTTCCTGAGAAAGTGAGAAACAACTGTCATGACTATTGTGAATGAACCATCGTTAGCCTCTTCCTCCTTTCCCATGAGATTTTCTATTTAGCATTTTGCTGTGTATAAAGCAGCAGGTGAGCAAAACAAGACAATGAGGTGCAGGAGCATCTCCTTTGGAGAGATGGAGGGCTACTGAAAGACTCTTAACCAGGGGTGTCAAACTCATTTTCACTGGGGGCCACATCAGTCTTGTGGTTGCCTTCAAAGGGCTGAATGTAATTTTAGGACTATATAAATGTAACTACTTCTTAACTAGGGGCAAGGAGCTCAGTGCTGCTGCCAGGTAGAAACAAGGTGCCAGACCGGATAAAACATGGTGGAGGGCCGGATTCGGCCCATGGGCCTTGTGTTTGCCACCTGTGCTCTTAACAAATCTTTGAAGTTTTTCCTCATGAAGACATTAAGTATAAACAATTTCTCTGTTGAGAAATATAAAAGGATTGGCCAGAAAATAGCTGGTATGCTCCTCTCTAAACTTCGAAGTTTAAACTCTCTTGAAATTTGCATTACTTTAATGTTTATTTCAGAGCCAAGTCCAGGGAAAGGATCTGAAATCACAAAGAGGTTGGGCGTGGTGGTGCCACTTCTTTCGGAGAGCCAGATAAGAGGCTGATTCTCTTTGCAGATTATACTAAAATGCTTCTCACAAAGCTATTACTAACATTTATGCCTCATCCATGTAATTCTTATCTTGGTTTTCAGGGATGTACATTCACTGGATGCCATAGAAATATTCTAAAATTATTTTATTTTTCAAATTCAACAATACATACACATGGTTCAAAATTTAAAAGGCTCTGAAGAACAAATCATGACAACACCGTGTCCTTCCTCTCTTCTTCCTGTCTCCTGGCCATGCTGTTCCCCTTCATAGAAATATCCATTGATAAGTTTCTTATATCCTAAATATTTTATGAGTATCTATATTTTGGAAATAACAAGACTCTAGCATCCAGATGGGTTTTCCATATGCAGCTACTTGGAAGTCAAATAGACTATGTAAAAACCGTTTTAGACTTGTAATTATAATTAATTCCTGCTCAGATGATTAATTTTATTTTCTATTTACTTTCAAGAACAGAGCCAAAAACGGATACCCTGGAATTATGAAGGAGCTCTGGTGGGGACTGATGGCAACCAGGCTGTGCCACTCACAAGCAGGTATGGTCTGACCTCCCACCTAAAAACGACGGGCTCTCCACACAACGTCCAAGGCTTCTGCCAAATAAGAGATCACACTTACTTTCCTCAAGTCAAAGTTCAAGATAGGTACCTGTTGCATCTATAGGACTGTATGATTAGACTGATGCTCCAGTGGCCCAGGAGCTACAAAACCCTGAGATTCTTTGATATAGTCAGTGGAGTTTTATGGCTCACTGTTACTTCACTTCTTTGAAAATTGAGAAAACTTCGATAATATACATATAAATATACATCAGAGTAACACCACTTCCAAATGTTCTTGACTTAATCACACCTTATACATTCTGCTCAAGACCACAAATTGATTAATTGCGGTTTCAGCAATGCAATTTAAGCTTTAATATGTTGCTCCATATATGCTTGATAGTGCATCAACTCTTAACAGTTCCATTAAGTTTTATAGTATGACCCTAAGCAAGTCTGCAGAGTTCAGCAGGAGAGGCTATAGGAAAGTCACAATGGCAGATTTCCAGGTTAACTCCCTGTAAGATTTATCCATTAGATCTGGGATGAGGCTTGGGAAGCACTCCCTTGGAGAGCTCTCTTCAATCAGTGGTTCTCCAACTGACTCCACTTTGCAACCTCCTGGGGAGCTTTACAAACAAACAAACAAACAAACAAAAACAGAATCGCTCTTTGCCTGGTGGCTCAGTTGGTCAAAGCATTGTCCATACACCAAAAAGGTTGAAAGTTCAGTCCCCGGTAAGGGAGTGTACAGGAGGCAATCAATCAATGTTTCTCTTATATTGATGATCTCTCTCTCTGAAATCAATATATACCCTTGGATGAGAATTTTTAAAAATGCAGAGGCCCAGGTTCCACCCCATGAGATTTGGATGTAATTGGCCTGGGGTACAACCTAAGCATTGGATTTCCAGAGCTCCCCTGCTCATTCCAGTGTGAAGTCAGGATTGAGAACCACCGCTGTAGATTTTGACCAAGATTGCCCAACTCTGGAAATCTCTTTGGATAATTGGAAATTATTTATTTCTCTCATGTGGAGCTGGTGTAATCTCCGTATTAGCGCTACTCTTGGCGTGAAACTGAGGCCTAATCTCAGGTTGCTCATTGTGATCTGGAGACCAGCCACATCCCCATCACCCAAGTACCCCCAACGGAAACAGAATCTGCATTTTAACAAGATCCCCAAGTGTTTCATGTGCTCATTAAATTTTAAAGAGCTCAGCAAAGTGGCCTCAATTATGCATTTCTAACAAGCTTCCAGGTGTGGTTCTACTGCTCCTGGGGCGCCCAGGGGCAAAAATTTAAAGCACTTTTTCTCAAAGTGTGACCCAAGAAGGGTTTCCAGAAAAGTGTAGAAAGCTCGTTCTGGACTTCACCACAAACCTTCCTGAATCCTCTGGGTATTGTAATAACTATGTATGGTGGGTACTCGAAATATTGGGAGAATAACTCTGTAAAGTATGTGATTGTCTAACCAATATGCTGTACACCTGAAACTAAAAATAATATTGAATGGAAACTATAATTGAAAAATAAAATTTAAAATTCATAAAAGTGTTTGAAACAGTGGCGATACAAAACCTCTCTGGGACTGTCTTCACAGCGGACTGCTCATTCACAGGTGACTCTTGTTTCCGTGAAAGGTGGAGAAGCCCAGGCAGGCCCGCCTTGTTCCCGGTGTGGGAGTCCTTCTTGCCTTTGAAAAGCAGCCCAGTCTAATTGTCTAAAAGCTCCTCTGCATTTAACCTACAATATTACTCTCTAAAGAAAAACTCTCTCTTCTTTAGCCCTTCAAAAAACTGACAATAGTCTTTCCCTTGCCTATCTGGTCTTTGTCATCAGGCTTAGATTCCCCAACTATTGCTTCTCACTGTGTTTCTTGCTCTTCTGGTTACTCCCACCCCCCCACCTCCCACATTGGAAACCTTCCAGTTCAGCACACCCCTCAAACAAGAGGAAACCTCCGCAGTGAGTAACATAGTATATAAATGAGACTATCATCAACTTGGATCAAAACGTTATATTTTAAATCAAGCAGCAGGAAGTTGAATTTTTTTTTTTAGAAAAGCTCTGTATCGTTAATTTAATATTAAGCTTCTGTTTAACCACAACCCCTATGTCCCTTCCCCTGGGTCTTCAAGACTACCCCATTCCTGTACTTTCACAATTACATAATGAATGTAAGTACACAGCTTTACTTACAACCCAGATAAATTTCATCACCATGATCTTTGTCCACTGTTTTGGATCAAGAAGTTCTGGTTACTAGTCCTGAACAGAGTAAACAGTCTTGGATTCAGACTCAAGTCTGACTCCTACACCTCTGCTGTAGGACCTTAACCAAGTTCCGTAGCCTCTACAAGCCTACTTTTCATATGGTAAAGGTACAATAACAGTACCTATCATGAGGTGGTTGTAGAGCTTCAACAGGATACTATAAAAGCACTTTGTAAAACATAAAGCTGTGTGAATGGTTAAGGGCATCCCCAATCTTTGAATAATTTACACTTAATAACCATAACATTTTTTATCCATCATGTTTTCTGCTCCCACAATAAATGTGGCAGTCCTGAAATCTTCTGAAACACAAAATCTGTCTCCTCCACTACCATATATGACCCATTCTAATTTGTTTTTTTCTTGTATGAAGAATTCCTGACCTCTATCCACAAAAGGAAGGGAAACCTAGCCTGAGAACCAGTTAAACCAAACACCAGGATGTTTCTCTGGAAACGACCCACGTGGGAGTGGACAAAATAAAAAAAAACCTGTAATGACCCTGAGGTGGGTTCAAAGTGCTCAGACAGGGTATCTACTACTTCCAGTTTCTCATTGAAAGAAGAACTCAAAATTGCTGAGGTTTGGCCATCGGAGTTCTGTTGATCCAGGGTTCCCAAGCTAAGCGATGTGATGAAATAGAAATTATAATAAATATAATGTAATGTAGTATGTTGTATTGTCAGTTTTCACCTTGTCTTACTGCCAAGAAAGAAGTTACTCAGAGGCAACTAGGTTTCACATAGAAGCCTACGATCTTGTATAGACCTTCCCATGAGTGGGAAATTTCCTAGATGGAAATCAGTAAAAGGAATGCACTCCAAGTCCTCACCATTTGCACCTCTCCACCCCCAAAATCTCATTTCTAGAGTAGAAACAACCTCAAAAACAGGAGACCTAGAAAATTCATGGTCATTTACTGTTTGGTCATCCTTTTCCGTTAATCTGCAGGTACTTTTCTCAACTCAAACCTCTGCTAATTTGCTGAGGTTTTTAGAATATACATATTTTTCCAGGAGATGGATCAAAGAGTTACAACCTGAGCACATGTACAAGGCAAGAATTAAATATACTCAAACTACTCAAGTAACAAACACCTAATATTTATTAATAAATTAGTACACTTGAAGGCATTTTTCCGATGTCATTCCCTCACCATTATCCACAAACCCCGCCCACACAAAGGGAGTCCACATCACCCTTTTGCATTAGGATCTGGCAACTGAGCATTAGAGAGTATGTTTATAAATGGGAGCATAGTTGCAAATATCAGACAAGAGTTCTTACAGCTGCAGCCGTTTTTAATTGAAGTGGCTGAATGATGTAGGAAACCCACCAAGACCGAGGCCTTGAGGACAGACTGGACCTATCAACTATGTGTGGATAAAAACCAAGATATCTTTAAAGCAAAGCTGGGGCAATTCCCTATGGAAAAAGTGCCTCTGGCACTCAGTTGTGACTTTCCAAAGTGCACAATATGTTCCAGAAAAGCTCAACCCCTAAAATGTAAAGTTCAAGTTCTTTGGTGGCCCAGGTGTCAAGCCACTTACATAGCAAGTCCTGGTGGCTTGAGGATTTCATGTCTCCAGCCCAGAGTATATTAGTGTAAGAGGAGCATAAGTAATCAAGCATTCTACACGGTGTCCAGGTGAAAACCATACAATCAGCAACAGTGTGGTCAAGTTTCAGCCATGAATATGAACTATACAACAAGGCATATTAAAAAGGTAACACAAAATCTAACTGAATTACAGTAACTCAACGGGGTCTTACATGTCCTTAACCCTTAAGAAAACTCGTAAATGACAAATAATAATAAAAAATAGTAAGAATAAAAGTAGTAGATGTGGATGTTGAGACATGAAGACTGCTTACAGAATTCACAAGATGCCATTGCACTTTGAAAGAGGCTCACAATCCAGTGCGCGGGAGCAGTCACACTGCATCTGTGGTGCGTGAAGTGAATTTAAAGTGCACAGAACAACTTGGACAATACATAAGAAGGCAAAACAGAGAAAATATGGAACCTAAAAAACTTTAGTAGTGGGTATTTTGCAACAGTTACATCTTGAAAAGGTTCATAAACTAACTTCACAGAAGGGTTAAAAAAAAGAAAGGAAAAAAAACAGAACTCCAAACACTGGCCATATACTCTATTAAACAACCCCCCCACAAAAAAATAAACAAAATAAAAAAACAAAAACAAACCACCCTGCCACTAAAAGGAGCAGTTTCAGAGCGCAGTGTCCCTTGTTTTCTAGAGCAGGTCGGGAAGATGGCCATAGACAGAGTCGAGGAGGGTCTGGCTGGCCTCCTGGCTCTTCACTCCAATAATCTCAAAAAGCCGGTCCAGCTTGTCCTCAGCCTGAGGAATCTCTTCAATCACCCGCAGCTCCTCAGGATTCAGAATGTGGAGCATGTCATCAAAAATAGGCTGCAAGTCACAGGGGTCCAGGCGTACCTGCCGCAACACCGTGTCCTTCTTTTCTGCACAGGGGAGAGGCGGGGAGGGGACAGCTGTAAAAGGACTGTATTGGGGGGACATGTAGGAGAGCTAAGTGACGGCTACTCTCTCCCCAGGCTGTCCCCACCTCACCAACCCAAGGTGAGTGAGTGAACCTCTAGCACATTTTAATCAACACAGGAATTTTTACTTGCATTGCACATAAGATATCAAAACAAGATTTGCCTCATAAAGATCAGAAAAAGATCTGCTTGAATGGGTTGTTGATGTGCCTGCCTTTTAACATGACATTTGCCTAACCCTAAACAACTTCTCCTAAATTATTCTAAAACTCAGAAGGAGAATGCTGTAATACTTAAAAAAGAAAACTGAAAAAATTATCCCCTCCTGAAAAACTTTACTCTTTTCCCCCCATCGGTAGTTCATTTATTAAACAAAGACCTCAGCCCACCCTTTCCTCTCAAAAATCCCAAGTCAATGTAATCTGCTATGACTTTCTAATTATGTTGCCATATTTTAACACTGACCCGCTAACAGCAAAAACACATAAATAAGAAAAATATTTTATATAAATAAATATGTAAAATGTTTAAATGTATGTAAAACAGAACATTTTATAAATATATAAAATATAACCTTTCACTAAAATATAAGTGGAATTAAACAAACTAGAAAATTTCTAACAAAAATCCATCATCAATGTAGTACGCATGTTAATTCCCTGCTATTAAAAACTGAAAGTGGCAAATTATTTACCAAAAGTATTAATCCATACTGTTTAAAACACTGTTGGTTTACAACCAAGCTTAACAGTGAATTTTAATTCAAGTCACTAAAACCTACACTTCAGACACTCAAGATAGGTTAGTGCTTTAAATCCTTGGATTCAAAGCACTAACCTTCAAGCCTTGTAAATAATTTTCAAAAACCTGCCCGACTGCATTTTATCAGACCTTTCCTGAAACATGTCTGATAGCATCAGGAGGATAAAGGGTGACAGACAAAGGGCTCTCAGCCAGGCAGTCAGAGCTGAAAGATTTTCTAGATGGATCCCCACTGGCTGAAGACGTGATTTCTCTGAGGCCATCTTTATCTTGTCGTCTAGAACAGGTTTTCCAGGACAGGTCATTCAAATGATTCTGAACTGTGGAAGTGGCAAGATAAAAATCCTGAGGGCTCTTTTGAGGAAGGCTTAAAGAATGTCTGTACCTTTGGTAATAAAGGAGCCCGTCCTGCTCAGGGCAGAGGAGCCACTGGATGTGGAGTCACAGCGAAGGAGGGGCTCGGACTCGTCCACGAAGAAGCCTTTGCTCTTCTCCAGCGGGGAGGGCTCCACGGTCAGGAGAGTGGAATTCTCAAGTTTCGTGTTGGGGCTGGGGATGGGGCTGGGGCTGAGTGGGCTGGGGCTCATCGGAAGAGCGAGTTTGTCAGTCTCCAGCTGCGGGAGGGAACAAAAAAAGATTTTTTTAATTATATACCTAAAAATTATAGAGAAAAAGGATATAATCTTTTCTCAGCACTTTCATTTGTTCCACCTAATATTTTAAGATAAATTCTCACATTTTGACAGTCCTCCTTAACTTACCACATTCCTGTGATACACAAACATACACGCAAACACACTACTCTGGGAGTGAGTTAGCATGCTGCTACTTTGGCCAGCTGAGGTGTAATCATGGCTGTACCAGGTGTATGGTGGAGATAGGGGAAATGATAGGTGTTATCACCCCTTTTCACAGGTGAAATGACTAAGGCACAGAGGGGCACACAGCCCCGGGGAGAAAGCCAGTGTTCATTGCAGGTCGGCC